TTCATTCCTCAGTCTCCTGTATTTCCTCCTGCCTTCTTCATTGTTGACATTCTTCCATTTCCTTCGCTCCTCCATTTTACTCATCATCTCCTGTGTAACCCATGGTTTTCTTGCTATCTTCTCAACTTTACCAACCAAATCACTGATAGTATCTAACACGCATTCTTTTACATTGTTCCACTGCACTTCAGCATTTCCGCTTTCAATACATGATTATATATATATATAACACATTAATATAACTGAAAACTATGTTTTGTGTAGCTTTCAATTACAAGTTGTAAGGAAAGTTATGAAGTTGAATAAAAGTATCTCTGATGGAAACAGAATTTTCTTTCAAGTTTACCCACCATCAGCTTTCCTAAACACAAGTATTCTATATATGTTATAGTCCAAATATCCATTGCATTTCAGTAAGGGGATGTTGAATTGATGTAAATGAAATGTTCTTATTTTACAGGCACTGGTGAGAAACTTTCTCCTGATGAATAATGTTGCAACTTGATATCTTATACTGCACAGGTTCTTACTCCATTGTGTGTTTTCTGTTTTTTAACCAAGTTTGATATCATTTAACTCATTCCCCTCCAGATGGTTTTGAGCGAAGTCTGCAAGCAAGTCTGTAACTGATCCTGCAGAATAGTATGCGAGAATGTAGACTGGATTCATTTGGCTCATAACTGGGTAATTTACTGACCAACTGTGGGTCTATTAGCTCTTTGACTGGCGCGGGCGTGTTTTAACGCCAGGGCGATGCCAGCCGTTCCCTGGCGTTGGCATGTTTTAACGCTTTGAAAATCTCTTCCCTTATTTGCTCTCTTGGCTCTCTTCAACCAAAGACATATATATGATAGTTTTTGTGCATGGTTGTAAAGAACCCTTGTAAACTTTGTGGGGGTCTATATTACTGTCAGAACCCTGCGAGAAGGAAAAGTTCAAAAAATATTTCACATTCATTCAGTTTCACCATGGCTTCTCGCAGCAAGTGTCGGCATGTTCCTACAGACCAGCTGGAAAGTGTTGTGAAGGAGATTTGTGCTGATGATGATAGTGGCGATGAAATAATGATTCCTGAATTGGATGAAGTTGATAGTGACAATAATACAGTAATAGACAATGATCCACAAGACAGTAATCATGAACATTTAGCTACCACGAGTGCGGTGCCTGACACGCCCATCTCATGGACGTACGGAGACATTGTACCAATAATAGTTCCATTTACTAGTAGTTCCGGGATCAAAATTGATATAACACATAAAATGCACCCCTTTTCATGGATAAAATTTTTTCTGGATGATGACTTAGTAACTCACATTACAACTGAAACCAATCGCTATGCTCACCAGCACTTCAACACACAAGAGTTAGCTCCTCACTCTCGAGAACTCAATTACAAATATGTCACATCAGATGAAATCTGGACATACTTAGGAATTGTGTTCATGACAGGAATCGACAAACGCCCTGAAATTGAAGACTATTGGTCCACTAGGCCCCTATTTCACACTCCATGGTATGGACAAAAGATGTCTTTGCGGCGGTTCCAACAGATTTCAAAATTTCTTCATTTTGCTGACAACGATGCACGACCAGCTGACTGTGAAGATCGCCTGTATAAAGTTAGGCCAATTATAGACTCATTAGTGGGAAAATTTAGGAACACATATATCCCTGAAAAGGAAATTGCAATAGATGAAGGAATGATCGCTTGGAAAGGACGTCTTATCTTCCGAGTATATATGCCTGATAAACCTGATAAGTACGGTATAAAGGCTTATCTTGTTTGTGAATCGACAAGTGGATATATTTGGAATTTTGAAATTTATTGCGGAAAATCAAGACCTATAAAAGAATTAGTTGTCGATCTGTTGGGGCCACAGCTTCTAGATAAAGGGTATCATCTCTACCAGGATAACTATTACAATAGTGTAGAATTGTGTGAGACGTTATTACAGAGAAATACCTATGTGTGTGGAACCTTCAGAATGGACAGAGGAGCTCCCAAAGAACTAAAGAATGATGTAAAAAATTTGAAAAAAGGGGAATCTGTGTTTTCTAGGAAGGGGCAGGTTCTCGTACAGGTGTGGAGAGATAAAAGAGACGTCAAACTTATCTCCACTCTTCACACAGCAAAAATCGTGGAATCTGCAAAAACGAATCGCAAAGGAGAAAAAATATGCAGACCCGAGGTAATTGGGGACTACAATAAACATATGAGAGGGGTTGACAGGGCCGATCAAATGCTGCATTATTATCCTTGCTCCCGCAAAACTGTAAAGTGGACAAAGAAACTGGTGTTTTTCTTGTTGCAAATGGCAGCATTGAATAGTTTCATTCCATTCAAAAAGTACACAACAGAAAAATACAAGAAGAGAAATTACAAATTCAACGATTTTATATTGGACTGTGTAGAAAAAATGACAGAACAAAACAAACAGTGTGGAGAGGGAGAACAGTCAAGGAATGAAGTGGATGACGAATCTATTGCGTCAGACTCGAGTGCAGTCACGCCTCCGCCTGCGACCTTGAGAAGACCACCAGTGAAAGACCCAGAAAATCGTCTAGAGGGTGGCTTGAAAGTTCACAAAAAGGTCCATGTTCCTCCCAGTAACAATAAGAAGAATGGTGCCATGAGAAAGTGTCGAGTGTGTGCTAAGTATAAGACTAGAAAAGAAACAAGTGTCATGTGTGCAAGCTGTGGTGTGGCTCTCTGCAAACTTTCATGTTTCAATGTTTATCACACGAAGAAAAACTACTAAAAAGGTATGGAAACACATTTATTGCATAAAATATTGTATTTTTAATAGTTCCTGAAAATTTCATTTTTAAAAACCAATTTTTGTTGAAGTTGTTTAGAAAAAAGTAAGCACATGCATCTTAGCGAATAATGTTTAAAGGACCTGCCAGGACAGGGGTGGGATTTAAATACCCTTCGCGCCAGTCGAAGAGTTAGTGTCATACAAACAGCTCTGTTCCATGGAATTAATTAGCTTGTGCTGACTTTATCTCCTTGAGTGTTTCCTCTAGATGGTTAGAACTGTTACCAAAACAAGAGAAAAACAAGAGCAGATGTTGCATAAATGAAGTCATGGCAAAACATATGTGTAAAAGTAAAAAAAAAAAAGTAAAGCTATCCCTGTACCAGGTCCTGAAGGCCCATAGGGTTGTGAGACACTGAGGGTCCCACATCATCTAGACAATCAGTTCAAAGATGGCGGTAAGGTTGCCAGCCTTACGCGCTGGCCGTGGTTTACTCCCCAGGAAAATTATTTAGTTAATTCCTGGTATTCATTTCTGTTAGAGGCTGAGTAAACCCCAGGGCCTAGTGCGACTGGAAGGATTAGGTCAACTGAAAAAATCGAATGACCTCATTGGCACTTGAACCCACAACCTTCCGGCTTGTAGCATATTTTCCTTTTTAATTACCTTTGCATAATTTTCAATAAGATCTGTCTTAAATATATCCTGAAATTAAATGGATAATATATGGGAAACACTGCTGTAAAGGGATAACACGTGGGATTATATTATAAAACATCTAATTTTCAGTTTTATTCTTCAACTTTATTTTTAATTCTGTTATAAAGTTCTTGTACCTTCTGGGTTGCTGAACAAGTTCTTTTCACCAGATGGCTTTTAGCTGTTTTAATTTGACCACCTATAACAATTTAATGAGAATAATAATAGCAATAATAATGAATACTACTAAATCCATTCATATATTTCTATAAATTATATTAATGTATTATTATTATTATTACTTGCATTAGAGACAAATCCAGATTTCATGATTCTTGTAATCTTGTCCTTTAAACACAGTCTAAAAGCAAGAAGAGGTGTTCAGCAGCCACAAGAATTTTTCATTAATTCAATAAATGAAACAGATACGCTTGACCTGTATCTAGCCAGGGACACCCAGAGATACAGGCCCACGCCCTAGACCACAATGATCCAGCCCTCCGGATGGTAATTATGGATATATAAATTATGCTATGGTTATGATGACTATCTAGGTGAGACTCTTTACTAATGATCATTTTTTTTTATATGTTTATATATTATATAATAAGTTTCTTTAACAGACTAAGAAAGAAAATAACAGGAAGCCAGAGCTCTTTTAGATCATTAACAGGATGACCAATACATGCAATGTACTGTATGTTACTGGCACTAAGTAAAGCATCTTCTTGCAGTCCTTGGTGACTGTCCACCACAGAACCTATTCTGTACATACGAGTATATTGTGGATTCTTTTTTGTGATAATTACATCATTATTTTATCTTGTATCAACATGTGCTAAAAATGTGACATACCATTCTGATCTGAATTTGTTGTATCTTGATTTGGTCTCATATTCAGGCAGCTTCATCTTTCTATAATGCTCTCAAAAGGGAGACAAGAAAGAGGCCAATGTCAGGCCCTACTGATAAATTATTTTCCACAAGTACACACTTATTCTGAAACAGCCCATAAATGAGTAATCCACAGAAAATCATAGTTGGTGCCCTAAATCAGTGATTACATTTCATGTATGATCGCCCTGTTTGTAAAGTGAAATTAAAACCTAATACTGAAACTACAGTATATTCAATAGTAATGAATAATCAATCACTCCTTTATCAATCTGATGACTGTATTTGTTTAATGCAGCACTGTTGAATTAATGTTCCAGCCTGCAATAACATAAGACCATTACCATTAACTAATCAAATTGGCATGCAACAGAGGTTCCACATGGCTTGCTTATATAATGAAGCTCACACCTTTTTAAAATATTTATTTAATTTCTTGTTTAATATCTCTTTTTGGCCTCTTGTTTGCTTGTTTGACTCATAAACTTGAAGATGAAAAATGAAAAGTGTGCCCTCTGCCAAGCAGAGGTCAAAGCTCAACACACTGATATGCTAAATTAGCTGCTGCCATTCTCACACTTCTTTTATCTGTCATCAGAGTTCACCACAAGCACAACCTAACCTCGCAACTAGTATGGCACTTTTTTTTTAATTTTTATGTTTTTTCTTGTGTATTATATATGACCACGATAAATCATGGATATATATTTAATACTGTTTCATGAATTGCCACACTAAAGTTGAAATAATTACTTGCAAATCATCTTCACTAGAATTGATCACACTTCATATCCAGTCACATCTGCAGCTTTCTTCGTACTGTTTAGAAGATGTATCAAACTTAAAAACTTTACAGTATGAAATCTGATAGTGCTTCAGAAGAATGCAATCAATGATACTAGTACCCTTCAAAACCTAACTTGGTTATAATACTGGGTCCATTAAATGCAAAGACCCGTTATTAATAAAAGTATATGACTAGAAATAGTTTCAATAATTTTCTCATATATATTACAATGGCTTTGAAAGACACTCTCCAAAGAAATATGAATGAAACATCTGCACTTCTGCTATGGAATTAGTATAGCTGGTACAGATTAAGAGCAACCATGTGTTCACATGGTTTAAAATTACAAATTCTAAGATAGGAGAATGCACCTCCATTTATGATGTCCTATTAAAGGGGTATATTATGTATATTTATGAGGAAATAGCATAAAACTAAAAATAATAATACAAAAAAGACTAAGAAAAAATTCTTCACATTTGCCAGTTTCAGTATACCAGATTTCATAATAGACTGATAACCAGTTTTCCCATTCACTGCCAGATCCTTGTTTCTTAAATGAATATTTATGTGACCATTCAGGTCCTTATTATTTAATAATATTTTTTTAAAAATATCTGTTGCTAAAAAAAACTTTGCAAAACAGTTCAGCCTAAATTTGCTGAGAGGTGAAAGGTATTTCCACTTTGTAGCATATTAAGTCAACAATATTCAACTTTCAGGACAAATTTCCTTCCATATTTGCTACATGGCATTTCATTTTTCAAATTCCAAAAAAACCAAGTGCTTGGTCCCAAAGTGAATCAAATACCAATAAAAGCTTGTGTCCCTAAGCTGCTTTCCCCTACATTGTCATTTGCAGCACCTTCACCTCTTAGCAAATGGTTTACAAATTGAGGGCATATCTCAATCCACACATCTGCCCTATTCCCCTTGCCTTACAGTTGGTGGCAAGAACAAATCAAAATATATATATATATAGTATATATCATACATATTTATATTTATATATTATCATAATAATTATAAACTGCAATAAAGAAGGAACAGGCTAATTTGCCGAGCTTGTCTTATTTAGTCCATGCTGATGCTGCTGCTACTACCAATCAGAATGAACTCAGAGGGGCGTTCCAGTCAGATTCGGTAGGAGAGACAGACGAGTCTCATTGCAACATAGTTTTAATTTGAGACAGTCTTGAAGTGTGCTCTCCTGCACTCATGTCCAGTTTTGTATTTTTTTTTGTTTATTTTTAAGTTTTGTGATTAAGAGCTTAACTCAGCTACGATGTGACTGATACACAACATAAAGTGGGTTCATACAAATGGCATATATTATATATGTACTATCAGAATTATATTACTATACATAGCATGGATGGAAAATACTGTGTTAAAATTGTTTTAGAAAACTCAAGATCTTAACTTTTATAATGAGCATTTAAACCAAAAATGGGTCAATCTACATTTTAAACGGATAAACTAGTTTGGAAACAATGCCTTAGAGAATGGAAGCTACATGAAGCTGACTGCCTCTTTAAACATAGGTGACCTTTTGATGGCCCAAACAGCACATCCACTGTATGTATGTAGTGGATTATGGTTTCTTTCTTCCAGCTAAGAATATGTATAATAAAAGAAATCCACAGAAATTCTGTGGGTCCCCCTGTTGGATCGGCACATATTTCACTAACGTAGCATTTGAAAAGTGATCACTAGGTTTCCTTTGATTCGTGAAAAATCTATTAAGAGAGTACACCATTTTTTTTTTTTGGTTTCACAGAAAAACATTTACACAAATAATTGAAAAAACATACCCTGTATCCAAGAATCACTTCATAGCAGTGGGGGTTTTTTTTATTTTCATATCATTAGACAAGTGGAAAAATGTTCTTGCATTCCCTTGCGCTTTCATGTCCATTTATGTCTTTCCTCGCCCCCATACAAGTTCGCACTGGTCAGATTATCATTTGCAGATCCGTAAGTTATGTTGAAGTCATACATGAAAGGCAGCGCAATAATTGAACTGTTGGAATTGTGAGAGCACATTTTGTGTATGTATATGTGTACTGTGTGTGTGTGTGTATGTGTGATGATGATGTATGTATGTGCATATGTGCGTGTGTTTAAAGTAAAAGAATGGAACAGTTAACTTACACTAGATGTATTAAATAAATGCTTCCCTCAATCAAGGAAAGAAAACAAGGGACTCTGCCAAAACTTTTGGAATTCTCCACTATCTTTCAAGCTTTACCATCATATCCTGTGCAGCTCTATATGCACGCAGGATATATGAACAACCGATACACCAAACGTACAGTTATTGAAGTGCAGTTCCCTACTGACTATCATGAAACTAACAAAACGAACTTCACTACCACATATTGGCACCAATTGATAAAAATGACAATAGGTAGCTATTACAACAAAAATAAATATGTATAAAAAATGAACATCCCATAGATAGGTACTCAATTGATAGATAATTTTATACAGCATATATTATCAAAATATAATTTAATGTATATGTAGCTGGTTGTAGCAAAAGGCTTAGCAAGCTGTCGTTAATAGGTGATAACCATGTACAATCCATTTTTATTTGCTCCTCACTAGTTTTCATAAAACCTCCAAGTGAGGCAATAAATAAATAAAGTAATTAGAATCAATAAAAAATAAATTACATCTAAATTACAAATAACTACCTCTTTCAACATGTTTGCTAGACAACTAACTATCTCTTGCAAGGAGCACCATTTGTGTTACTGCACTAGAAATAAGACTAGGAAATTAAACTTGCTTATCCCTTTCAAAACTATATTAACTGCCTTTCCATTGCACATATCCAACACTAATTGCAGCTGATCAGTAAAACTCAAGTAGTATGCTGAAATCTCATCATTAACATGTTCTTTGAACTCATTTTTCCAGTTCGTCGATTTTTTTTTAATTATTTTGAAGGGAATGTGTTTGATTTATTAGAAAATAATCGGAATGCATTAATTCACTAAATAAAAGCTCTTTTTCAAAGATTTAAGAACAAATGTGAAGTAGAGATAAAGCAATGTAAAACAAGATTTGATAAAGATTTTGATGTTTTAATCTCATGTTCTTCAAGGTTATTAATTGCACTAAATTACACAGCTCTCTTAAACAAAAAATAAATTACATTAATATTATCTGTTACTTGCACTATATTTTTAAGTAAAGATGCATCAACAGAAAAAGATAATGTGTCGATCATGTTGTGTTCCTATTGCACACGTACGTATCTACAACATGTCACTGCTCTTTCTATGCGCATACTGGCTGTCAATGCTATAGACTTAACTATACAATTCTTCTTATCCAGTCCTTCTGGGGTTTACTTCTTTAATAAGTTAAATATATATTACTACATTTCCTACAAATCTACAGTATTTCTGTTTTACCTTTGTCTATATACTACCATTCTCGGCTGAGAAGCTTTTTTGACTAGATATTATAAACAGTTTCTGTTTGTGAAGAAGCATGTGGCTCATGTACCAGAGACAAATGTCAGGCAGCAGGCTGTCAACTAGTCAGTACAGCGAGCAATGGTATTTGGAGAGGTGAAGGAAATGTGTAGGCCATTTGCTATGTGAGTGAGTTTGTCTGAGCATAACTGTAAAGCAGAAAATTAAGAAATATTTGATATATGAGATGAAGTGATTGTTCTGAAGACACCTGCTGTCTACCTGTCTCTGCAATTAACTGATGAAACTAAATTAAATTAAAGATGCAAGTCTCAAGTGCACCTAGATCTAGAGCTGCTTCTCCATACAAGTAATGTACTATAAGACCCAATCCAGTCTGTCTTTTGGTCAGTCGGTCAGTCAGCCAGTAAGTCAGCTTGTTGGTCAGTTGGTCAGTCAGTAACTTAACAATAACAATGGCCTTCATTGAATACTCCTCACTTTGGTGTAATGCTATAAATAAATACCCTTCAGGATCATGTTCTAAATAATTATGAAATATGAATAAATATTTTATGAAAGAAAAAGTAGAAACACCCCTCCTATTATCTTTGGCTTTCTGGGAGTTGCTATGATTATAGACTACTAAATGTACTTTAACCCTTGTATGCTCGCAATACCTACAAACTACGTATGTATGGTTTCATGTTTATGTATGAATAATTTGGTATTTTGGTTATGAATTAATATTTGCTAAAACTGTAGTAGAAATATTACATTATTAATTATTTTGTATCATTTTCATTATAAATATTAGGTATTGTTACACTGTTTCATCTTGTAGGTTATTAATTACATATGGGGTGGTGGGGGGGAGGGAGTTAAAAATCCCAGTGAATACTTGTGCAACTTGGCAACGATATCAAGAATGATTTATCAATTGGCTGTTGGCCTCCTCAAAAGCCCAAGTCTTGCCACTAACCAAACTAATAAGCGTTTATATATATTCTGACATGCCAATCAGACATGTGACATGCATGCAAGCAATCTGTGTAGCAAATGAGAGAAACAGGCATCAGTGAGACAGAGTGTCAACAGTGTAATCAACATCACATCTTTTGGCAATAAAAATAAATCACCTTACATATATAACTGTCATATTATCAACATTACTTCGTTTCTTATTTTGTTTATGCACCGTTAAAATTCCAAGAATACTGACCATTACACCAAAAATAACACTGAGTTAGTTACATTACTTTTCTTTTAAATGACAACAAACCACCAGCTTACTTTACGAACAAACAAGAAGACATAAACAGCCTGTACAGTTTTACACATCATATTTACTTTCCTTTATTTTAATTTAGTAGATAGATCACAGCCCATTTGGAATTTTTCAAGTCATAAATGCTACACTTTCCTGCCATGCATGCACATGTACAGACAAAATATGTGTGCTCAGTCCCTAGCCTGTTTCTGTCATCAGTTTACCATTGCTGGTGGCTTTCTAGCCATTCTTGTGCTACAGAGCCCTTGTCTTAACTAGAGGCCAACAGCCAATATAACCTTCATAATTCATCCATGCTCATCATCTTAAAGTACTAAGCAAAATGGGTTAAGTCACTCACCTCATTGCAGGTAGTTATCTTGAAATATTAGTATAATAAATACTTAAGTTATATTAATAATTGTATATAATAATGATAAGAATATGAAGCTTTCTTTAAAATCTATTCACTACACTAAGATTTTGTTACTAGATGACTAATTTGTTCCGTGGGCCGGAGGTCTAATATAATCCTGCACCACAATGCTAATACTTGTCAGGAAGTATATGGAGATTTATGTACTGCCCCATCCTTGGCAATGGGAAGATATTCCCAGTCATCATTAATGATTATTTTCAGTTGCTTTGTAGCAGTGTATATGTAGAAGAAAGTTATGGTGACTGTTGTAGTAGCTGTAGAGCTGTAGAGTTGTGGTGTGCAATCATCTCCCATTGTCACCTTTCGGGAGGGTCAAGATTCCACACTCTGTCACCGCTACTGCCACTTCTACAGTTGTGATTCAGGGGAAGAGTGGCGCCAAACATCCTGTAGGACTCATGATGAGTGATGTAGTCATCGGAAGGAAGATTGGTAGCCCTGGATGTATTCTGGTGCAGGTTCAGATGCTGACATCTTGAAGTACTGTGATTGGTCTCTTGTCTTGCACCACACAAGGCTAACTGAAAAATCTGTTTCCATTCATTTAGTCAGTACAGATTGATGAGTATTATTTCAAGTAATCAAGAAATTGAATTTTTCAAAGGAAATGCTTGGTGCAAATGATGATAAACACAAAATATTGTAATATATTTACTAGCCCTGAAATGAATATTAAATGTTAATATCTCTCATAATTCCTATCTCATGCTCTACATTTGCTACAGGCCTTGTTTGTACCAACCCATATGTACTTGGGACTACAGCATGTGCTCTCCTTTTTGGTTTGCATATCCAAGTCAGCAAATAATGCTTAAATTAATCACAAACATATACAGTTTTCTGTGATAAACTGTATCACTGGATGCCATAGTACCTATGGGCACGAGAATTAGGAATTAAGTTAATGCAAAGGATGATGAATATGGTCATATTTGACAATGTAATTAGCATGATAAAAGTCATTTAGAATTATACATGGCACATCCCCATATTATAGAAGAGNTGTAATAAGAGACTTGTCATCAAAGGTTATGTTAAATATAATTCCTTTCCATGCTCTTAAAGTGTACTCCTTGCACATGAACTTGATGGCCTCTTTCCAAACCTTTTTACATAAGGGTTATACAATGGACATCTAAAACAAAATGAGAATAGTAATCATGCCACAAGATATCCCCCTATATCACTGATGCATATGTGATCTGAATATTTTAATGAATAATCATTTTTAAAAAGGAATAGTTTTGGATGAATTTATTTCTGTTTTGTAATCTGCATTTAAAAATCTAATATTTATCCTGAATTTTGAACGTGACAAATTTATGATCTACATCACGAATTTAATGGCTATTTTTTGTACTTTCCAGAAGAATGAAATTTTATACCCTGAACATCCATAATTCAAAGATGCACTATATGAAAAATGGTGGAGATAATACTCTTGCCTAAAGATACTAATTTATTTTGGAGTGGGAACAAAGATTCTGAACCTTCTGTTTCAGTACTGATAACAGAATAGATGAGTGTGGAGCAGGATGACAAGTTTAAGCTGATATGTACAGACAGTTTCGAGTTCCACTGTGCTCCATGACATTGAAATGGGCATCCCTATACTGCTAGTAGGGTTCACTTCATAGGCACTGAAGGAATTTTTTAAATTTTTAACATTTAAAATAAATCAGTACACATGGTGATGCAGATAAAAATCTTTAATTTATATACATTCAAATGGAAGTACAACTGAACTTCCAATATGCAATTTCAGTTCTATACTAAAAATGCAAATTTTGGTAATTTATTTCATAATATATACTTCAAAAAGAATACTTTCAATTTTGAAATGCTCTATGTTTCCATTAAGAAACAGTAAAAACACTAAGAGCTTTAAACTGTATTAGCACTTGCACTGACTTAACAGCGTTATTGTAATTAACTGTTTTTTCACCTTCGATTATAAAGTCTGTCAAGCTTACACTTCCACTCATAATTTCTTAGTGTGTATTACAAATGTTTTAAATATCTGGAAATTATCTGCTGGTTTGTTTTTTAATATAAAAAGGGCGTTTTCTGTGTAATGTCTAAAATATGTAAACTCACTTCTATTTGTGCTTCCCATCAATTGCACTTATTTCCATAGCAGATAAAAAATTCAATTTTAAACTTTCCATTTAATTGTTATAAGCACAAACTGCAGGCAAAAAATAGTGCATTATTCATAATCAAATTTTCATACATTTGTAAAAATAACAGGTGGCAAAATTACTTATATGCAAACATTGCAGCATAAGTAATCACATTAAAATATTTTGTACAGTTTTACAGTACCTGCACTGGCATTTATTGGGATAGCAGCTGGTACTGGTTGCTTATTTTGATATGTAAACTGAAGTTTTAGCATAATAAAGTTTATAAAATTATATTGTTTAAAAGAGACTGCCATTATTTAAACTGTAAAACAAATCAAAAATATTCTGATCATTTTGATAAGTAGCATATATCTGCCTTGAAAGAATTCTGTAACAGTAGTGCATGAAGTAGTAGAGCTCACAGGTAGACATCCCTATGGAACTATCATCTGATGTTTCTCATAAGCTTCTGATATTACTATATCACAACACTGCTATTAGAGAACTGATTACTGAGGTGAAGAACTAATTTAATAGATTTGATTTTCCACAATGATATCAAACAAATTTGTTTCTTGCTTAATATTCTGAATCTGAAATAAAAGAAATTATAACATAAGAATATGAAACATTTTATTTTTAATGTAAAAATAACGCCCAACATGATTTCACAACATTTTATGACTTATCCGACAAATATATATTTACACCAATACAACAATAAACTGACATATTTAAGCCACAAGCTGCAGACCGAAGCATTCCACAGTCAGCTGAAATTTAGCCACAGTATTAACATTCAGTTCTACACAGTGGGAGATGAGTTTTGTGTTCCACATCAGTTTAGCAAAATTTCATACTCAAGCAGCCAATATCTAAATAATATACAAGAGATACTCATATACAGAAAGTCTTAAAAAATTGAGGTCTGATTTTAATTTTGGTGGGTCTTCTAAGGTACAACACAGAATAAACTGCAAGTTGTAACTTGTCACAAATAGTAACCCAGTCTGTGTCACAGTTATTTTGTAAATAACTACAGCCACACACAATTTGTTTAGTAATTTTATGTGACATATGAGTTACAAAAACATCAATATCTCTGTGATATTCACAACACTATTATTATATTATGTGTTTTGTAAGGTGAAAATGAGCTAAACAAGAGCGAATTTAAGGTTGGCAGATTATAATTAATGATACATCAAGTGGTATATATGAAGAAGTATATAGTAATATTATGATATAAAATTTACAAAATTACTCTATAATTGTTAAACAAGTATTACCAAAACTATTAATGTTTTTCAAGATTATTTTGTGCTCTGTAAGCCAAGTATCAGATACTGACCAACCAGACCGGTTAGGATAAGCAGTAAATTCTATGCTCTCTTCATCTAGTCGTTATATGATTGAATAGGAAAGGGATTTATTTCATGGGAAATGTATGGAGAAACTTTCAGAATTGTGTCTGCCATTGTAAGAGATCCTGTCTTGCATTTATTGGCTCACTCAGGGAGCATGGTCCCAGATATCCTCTTTCCTTCTGTTGTACAATTTTGCTTCTATGCTCAGCTCACCCTTCTACCCTGAAGATGGAGACACCTTGTTCTTCAGAAACATCAGTAAACATATACCATACTGGGTGTCATGTCCTAAATGACAGTAATCTTCAAGGAAATCTACCATGAGAACTTCAAATCTCACTCTGTTCATAAGAAGTTGTCTTTAATAGAACAACAAACAAGCCATTCATTTCATTTATTACTAATCTCTTTATGAAAGAAAGTAAGTAAAATCTTGGCATAATATAATGGGAAATCAGACTCAACAGAAAGCTCTGAGCACTGTCATATTAACAAGAGTTTGTAGTGCATATAGTGTAGTATTATTCTATACACTTGCTATGGGTCATACTTGAAACCCTTATCATTCATTACTTATACCAACTGTTTTTTGCTTAAATGTTATGATCCTCCTGGCAAGACAACAGTGTATCAGAAACGTAGCCAGCAGCATAAGGATCTGTTCTGATACTACAATGAACAGTTACCTGATGCCAAGGTACTGTTTTAGATGACCTAACTGAATGTGTCAAATAAATCTTTGCAAACTAGTCTAGGGGTACCATGTGATAAGGCTAACAATGAATTATGTTTAGTCTATGTATTTCCAAGAATTTAATCTCACAATAACTTAAGGAACCTATTTACTAAGTAATGTACAAAAGGAGCCTGACATTATTAATTCTTTGTCTCTGGATATAAAATCCCAATTTGAGTTAAACCTGAACTTCAGTAAATTTAAAGAATTTTGGTAGGTAGAATCTTCCAGTCTAGAATCTGAATGTCTTATTGTGTCTCTTTAATCCTTACATTTGAAGAAAACATGTCTCATGATATGGGGCCTCAAGTTTGATGTACAGAACCAAGCAGTTTAATTGGTAGACACAGAGAAGCTGCAAATTAACAAATGAACCTATACTATGCTGCTCTTGCAGTCCCCTAAACTATCTACAAAACTCCTTAACCGAACATACTGGGAAGCACTAAAGCCATTTTTCAGGGGAAAAAGTAAAGATATATGAGCAACAGAAAACTTAGGTTGAGAAAACTAAAACTGCATATGCCAGATATAAAGCATGACTATTATAATCCTGCATTTATTGTCCCATTAGACATGCTGTTCTTGAAAGTTTTTATTAATTGCTCCTCAAGCATGCTTTCCTCTCCTGCAGTCTTGTAATCTAACACTAAATTTTGTTATCAACAGAACCAGACAGGAGATTATTCTGAAAACAGACTTCCCAACCTTATAACTGCAGTAATAGAGTCTGATGGAAGACTTTAGAAGTCTTCGTGATGTAAAAATGGGGCGGCCAGATCATATAGATACAGAGCTAGAACACTTCTTTATTGAGTACCTACTGAAGCAATTCACTGTAGGATTTGAGGTTCTCACAGCGGTAAGTATAAAGAGTACTATCTTCTGGGACATAATGCCATGTAATCAGTTGAAAGTCAGCCGAAGTTTTGGAGGACCATATCACCTCCATCTTCAGAGTTGAAGAATAAGCTAAGAAAGATACCAGGACAAACAGATGTGGTTGAATTTACAAGTACTTTTCATATTTTGAAAAATCTTTTGATTCAATTAGTATTGAAGCTCTGTAGTATAAAATGAGAACACAAGGACAGTGTAAGAAAATGCTTTACTGTATAACACGTTAAATTATGTAAATTTTATGAGACATGGTGAGAAAGTGACAGATTTTGTAACTCTAACAGGAGAAATGAGATGAGGTTTATGTTCATAACTGCAAAAATTTTATAGATGATATTTTGGTTTCATAAGCAAAAAGGACTACAAATGTAACCATGCCTGTGTTACTGTGACATCACCTT